TTTTTATCAAAACCTAGTAGCTCCGTCAGCAAGTAATATCTTGTTTGGCGCGGCTACTAGGTCACTGTCCAGTGTTCCCCCTGGGCAGTGGGTAATTAGTAGGCCCTCTGTATGGCTGAAACCTTACAGGTTTTATCATTTTATGTGCTTTAAAATGTGCTGGTAATTTAAATAGTTTATTAAATGATATTTAAATTAATATTTAAGTATAGATAATTTTTATTTAATTATAATGTGCCATTTTTTAGTATAACACATCACACTTAACACATTTTTAGAACTAATAAAATTATTATATAATTTTATTTTTTACTTGCATATTAAATTATAATTTTTTTGGATTTTTTAACTCTGATTATAAATGTCAAATTTACAAGTATGGTTTTATGCATATAGGGAAATGTAAAAATAGATTTTATTGAAGGAAACTGTGGCGTAAGTTTAATCATTATTAAATTAAACATCATATAAATACATTTTATAAATCAAATATTTTTAAATTAATGTCAATAATATTAACATTTAATATTATAGCATACAACTGCTGTTTGGAAAAGTGACAGAAATTTTTTAAAACCTTTAGAAGTAAGTTTTTATTGTGTATTGTTACCACCTAGACACTGTTATTATTTTTCAATATTTAATAAAAACATTCTACCTTACAATTTTTTATTTTAGGAATATTTAGAGTGTGGTCCTTTAATATTGGTGAGAATTATTTTAAGCAGACATATACCAGTTTTAATAATAGAGTAATACGGGGAACTAATGCACGCCTCAATATGTCGTACACTAGTTTTTAGACTTAAGAATAATCGTTTCTCCAGTACAGAATGTATAGGAAATTTAAAATTATTTTCATTGTTTACTACCAAAAAAAGAAAGTGGGAATGAGTGACATTTAATTTCTATTTTTCCAAAATTCTCAAATTAAATATATTTAAGCTTATAGTTATGATTTTAAGATAGATATACATAATGATTTTTTTATCACAACCCACTCATTTATTCAGAGAATATTAGCTACTTAATACTTTTTATGTTCAGCCGTTATGCCTTGTAAAGGTGTCATCTTTGTTTTTTCAAATGGGAACACATATTTCGAATTTAATAAAATGTTTAAGGGCTTTATTATTATTAATAGTAAGTGGCACTTGATTACACATCGGTCTAATATGTTATCGAGAAATTATGTTGTGATTATTCTTGTTATCATTGTGCTACATCGAGTTGTTGTCGGTCTCCTCTCTATGTCTGCATTATGGTCGCCATCTTTACGATTCTTAAGCTATAACCTCTTTGGCGCTTGTGAGCCAGTAGTTTTGTATCCGTTTTGTTGTAAAAGTAAAATACCACCTATGCGAATGTTGCTCAGTATATCGCTGTTGAGTCTATATTTTTTGAGATACATTACAGTACCGTTCACAACATATTGTACACGTTAGTCATCTACTTGCATTTGACTTCAATTGATCCTTTTCAATATTCAACATAATCAGTCTTGTTTCTATTAGCCGATAAGTAAAACGATTGTTCATCTATCTTTCTAAGACTAACTCACATTTAAAATTTATTATTTGTTATATCAGCGCCATCGTGGCATTAGTATTAAGTGTCCTACCTACCCATATTTGCGTAAATAAGATTTTATGATTCATGATTTTTTATGACGTCGCTTATTACACATGTTACGGAGCGTTTATTGTCAATAATGACTATCGGTAGATATGTTTTCTGTATCTCTAGTTATTTATTTTTAAATGTTTCCTAACAACAATGTTTTACAACCTCACATTTAGCATATCTGTTGATTAAGTCATGTACAATAAACGTTCCGTATCTGTGATAGCGATATCATAAAAAAACCATTAGCTACCTTTTTTTTGTAATCTCTCGTGTATTATAAATGTATATTAACTCAAAAATTTGAAATTTTATATCTTATAAACGAATAAAGTTATACTAAACATTGAAATTCTAATTACTATTAAATTACAAACTCTAATATTTTATTAAATTCAAAATATGTGTTTACATTGAAAAAAACAAATTTGACACCCTTACAAGGCATTATGGATGAATTTAAAAAGTATTAGATAGTTAATAATTCAAGAATAATGTACAACTAAAAAAAAATATATCTAAATTATGTTTATTCTGTGAGTAATTGAGTGGGTTATGATAAATAAATTACTGTATATATAGTTTTGTTATTCTTAATTGATATATACTAGCGTGATGCGGGAATTATGCACACTTTTAAACGTGCATTATAATATCATATAAAACATAGTTTTATAATTCATTAGATAAAAGTAAGAGTTGTTTGAAACAATTAAACAACTAAAGATTTTTAAAATCGAGGTTATAATCGTAACCATAAAACGTGATATTAAAACCAATTTTTTGGATAAAATAATTTTATAAATTAAGAAAATTATTAATGAAATTACACAAACATTCCGTTGTTTTTTTAAATAACTTAATGAAAATTTCAAAATTTATCATCATATTTTATAAATATTCGACAAAATAAATAAATCCTTTTTCCTAATTAATACTGATCAACATAAAAATCTATAAACTAAATCAAAAAGTAGTTTTAAAACTAAACTTTTAAAATTGAACGAATTTAGTACGTGATTTTAGGACTTAATTTATGACTTGAAAATAAATTCATGCTTTCTGGAATTTCTTAAATGACATATACCCTCTAGTATTTGCTAAAACTAGGGAAGTCCTACTCAGATACAAATGAAGAGGAGCATTTTTCATGATAATACTACAGAATACGAAATAAATAGAGAGTGCGCTAGACCGATCAAACTAATTCGTCCACAAGTATACTCTGTACAATTTAGTAGTATAACGAATAGTGCACGAAAATTTGTTAAAAAAGCATACACCAAGTATATATTGGTAGTTGACTCATTTTACAGCATTAACGAAAATGACCGAAGATTTTAAACGAATATTAGAGACGTCAGAGACCAATAAGAGCACATCGTTTCGTCTGTTGACTGTCATTTTAATGTAACAAAATGGTGTATTCTTAAATTTTATAAAATATATTTTTAATTCACGACAGAAAAAATCCTTTTCTATACAATTTTTAAAAGTCTTAAAATTTTCGAGACTTTTAAACTTTATTTATAAGCTATAGATATACATAGTTATTGTTAAAGCTGTGTAAGGATATATTATTCAATCTCACAACAATTATTTCTAATAGTAATAAACGCAATAATATTATGATTATTATGAATTGGCTGTATTAAAACGGAAAATAAATAAGTTAAATGTTATGTCAGTGCGTGATATCATACATTACGTTACTGTTATTATTCATCAGAATATTATCGGCCGGTCTTTTTATTACTAGTTAATACCAAATATAGTAGAACAATGGGGTGGAGGCACAGTATGAAGGTGGCATAGTTGAAACAAGTATAGATGATATCTGACAGTGATTAAAATCACTATCATAAGAAATTTTTTGATGCAAATCTGTAGATAGTGTTTAATATTAAAAAAATTGTAGATTATTCCAAAAGTAAAATGAACTCCTACTTTTTGTTCTACTTTGCCTGCTATTCGCACATAGAAAATAGGTCGTTGGTACAAATTTTTTTTTATTGATCTTCTATTACATAAAATTAGATTTTTAAAAGATGCAATAATCCCGGAAAATTTTGAAAAATTAGTTAAATAAATTGAGTTTAGAAGAAAATTTCTTTTTTGAATCCCCTCTTGTGGACAGGTAAAGGGTCAGATTTTGAAAAATACTATATCAAATAAAAGAAAATAACTTAAGGTCTTAAAAGCAGTACTACTTTTTCTTAGCTCTCACAAAACAAAAAAATTAACACATCATAGTAAAATTAATACCTTTTCAACTTCGAATTGAAGCTAAAAAATTATTTGAGAAGCCACGCCTGTCAGTGATGTTTATTTTATGATTTCCGCGTGATACGGCCCCGTATCAAACTTTAACATTCACAAAATGAAATTTCTAATTATTACCAAACTGAATAAATGTATTTTTGGATTTTATTTCCAGTATATTGAAAATATAAATGGAATTTTTGCAGAAATTTATTTGGATTTTGTAAGTATCTTAAATCATAAGTGTGCTGAATGAGAGAAAACAGCCCATTTATGAAAAACTTAACATTTACTAGTACATTTTGATTGTGATAGGAGAGGAAGTTAATATTTCTTATTTATAAACTTTCAATATGAATTTTTTAAAATCACAGATTTATATAATAATAAACATAAATAAAATACTTTAATATTATTGTATTTATTTTTGTTAAGAAATTATTGAAAAATTTATATTTTTTTTAGCTTGCAGTCATTATTGGAAAAATAAAAAAAAAAGACATAAAACGTTTTACAATCGTATGTTACTTTTATTATAAAATTTGAATAATCAAGCACATAATTTTATTAAATCAAATATTATTATTTAATAATATATTATTAAATATAATTACAACGTGATTTTTAATCATCAATCACTTTATTAATCAAAAAATAAATAAAATATTGATAATTTTACTCCTGATATCATTTAAATTATGATTTTCTCAATTTACCAAACATGCTTTTGATAAATTAATGTTGATGAACATGAAAAGAACTCCATGATTATAAATTGAAAAAACCATGTAACTAAAAGAAATCAAGAGTAAAATACTCAATACTGTATTAATTTTTTTATTAATAAATGGTGAATGTTAAAATAAAAGTGTTGTAAAACGAATTTATTTCATGATTAACCTTATAATATATCTATAACTTGGTTCAGAAACTCATTGAAGATAAGTTTTGTATTGTTAATATGTCATTGCAGTGATATAATTTATATTTATATGCGTGACTTAAAACTGGTATCAAAAATAGGAGTGTTGTTTTTTTTTGTAATCAAGAAATTTATAAAACCTTCATAAAATAACCGCGTATTATCATCAATTTTTTTTTTTCGAAAATTGCTTTTAAACCCGCTTTTAATCGATAAAATACTTCATTGGTTTTAAAGATATAATCCATTGATTTACTATACAATATTTTGTTTTTTAGGGTAGTAAAATTATATAAAACTCCTTACGAAGAGCGTAACAGGTTTATTTATAACTTTTAAATTGAATAAGCTTTTAACATTCTTGCCCAAAATTATTGCGTCTGTTTTAATATTACTTATTTAATATTATTCGGCAGATATTACTCGACAATTTTTTGTTGTTATCATGAATTTATTTTTGGCTTTGAATATTTCTGTACATTTGTGAAGCGCAAATACATGTTTTTATAAATTTGTACTATGATCATTAGTATAATGGAATTTAAAAATCATTTTTCATACTAGGTTCTTCATTTTAACAAATAAAAAATATTAAGATTATTTAATTATTAAAAAAAACTCGTCGTAATATTCTCTAAACTTTTATAAATTAAAACGATACAGCTATTAAATGCACATAGAGTATTTTTATTCAATGAAAATTACGCATTGTATTAATTACATATATAATATACAGCTTGGTTCATTTATCATGAACCACTTAATTAATTAACAAATAAAAATAGTTATGATAATTCAATTTTATTTCTTTTATATAAATATTTATTAATCATTAGGTATATTTTATTTTTATCCCTTATATTTTTAAATGTGTCAAATAGCAACACACCTAAACCACCAGTTTTTTTAACATAAAATGTTTTAATCTAGAAAATTATTGGACAAAAACAATTTGTGTACCAGTTTTTGACATTTTTATTTCTATACTGAAGGAAGAGAAATAACAAGTAATAAAAATAAAAATGCCCTTTGTCTAACCTCCAGCTATCACTATAAAACGTTAATATTACTTAATAGACACTTCGACTGGGGGTATTGGTGATAAGGCCATCGCCTTTCCGTTACCTTAATGTGGTTGTAATTTTATATCCCAACAAAAAATTGACTATTGACAATTAATTAATTTCTTTTTATATCTACTTACTACTCCGATATGACCCAATTTATACATAATGACGCAATAATCTTACAAGTACATATATTATAGATCCAACTAAGATTATTAAGAAAACTCAAGATAACTGTATGAGTTACAAAAACTTTTAAACGTAGATTGGATGAGAGATTCGGATTAAGTAAATTTTAACATTATGCATCACTTTGCCGCGCTACTTATCCACCCTAGTATACTCTGATTTAGTTGAATCATTTTTAAAAACAACGGTAGCGTAGTGGGGTCGGGGCACAGTATGGAGGTGGCATAGTTATGAAAATTATAGATGATATCTGACAGTGTTTAAAGTCATTATCATAAGAGACGATTCGATATAAATCTGTTGATAGTGTTTAATTTTAAGAAATTGGTGAATTATTCCAAAAACAAAATTATCTCCTATTTCCTTCATTATTCTTAATTAGTAGATCTATGATTTAGAATTATAATATATGATTAAATATTTATTAAAACAACTAATTATATAAATTAAATTGATATTTAATAATTTAGTATTGTTATTATTACTGATAAATTATCAAAAATTATAAATTGAGGGGCTTGATACAAAATTTTTCCGAAGATAATTTGTGGTTAATTATGAAAAAATGTATTTTCATCAGAGTTAAAAATTTACTTTCCTAAACCCATGTTTCGTGCTGATTTTAAATCTAAATTTAAACTTTTTATATCACCACTTATTTGTGATATTATTTATAATTAATTCAGAACAAGTATTAACATATAAAAAATATAACCAAAAAAATATAAGCCACAATGAAATTCAACAATACAACGGTAAACAAAATCATAGGTGAAACTAGGCACGGAAAATTTCTGAATATCAGTATACAGAGTGATATTTTTATCATAACCCACTCAATTATTCACAGAATAAACATAATTAAAATTTTTTTTTCTTTAGTTATACATTGTTCTTGAATTATTAACTATGTAATACTTTTTAAATTCATCCATTATGCCTTGTAAGCGTGTCAAATTTGTTTTTTTATGTAAACACATATTTTGAATTTAATAAAATGTTTGAGTTTTTAATTTAACATTAAATGGAATTTGAATTTTTAACTTGACTTAGATTGTTTATTAGATATAAAACTTTAAAATTTCAAAATATGAGTTAATATACATGTATAATACACGAGAAATTATAAATACAGGAAGCTAATAGTTTTTTTATATGACGTCGCTTATTCACAAATTTACAGATTTCCAACATAGATTTTATTATTTTAATGTTAGAATCATTTATTTTGTTTTTCAAAAATTTCTTCGAAACAATCGAGTTTCTTAAAAAAAATAAGATTCAATATTGAATCGTATATTTTTTAAGTTTAAAAGTATAATTACTATCCTCTTTAACTCTCCAAAAATTACAAATTCTTTTTATTTTTCATAATCACTGTAATTTATATTTTTAGACATTCCAAAGAAAATACATTACTTTAAGTTACAAAAAAGAAATTAATCATTTCGAATTAAACGGTATGTATAGGTCATGTTAATAAATGTGTCACTTGTTGAAGCATATTAATGTCTTATCATAACAATACAAAAATTTCATGATTTATACACATTTAATAAAATTATCAAATTTTTTTCATTGACAGATAATGAAATGAATCTCAAACTAAAATCATTTATAGAGAATATAGACAACCGAATTGAATTAAAAGTAATTAAAATCCAAGTAAGTTTATAAATATGTCTATGTGTGTACTTCAATTATAATTTCAACCTTTTGAAAGTAAAATTTAACTTAGGACTCATTACGGCCCATACAGCAATATAAAAAAATGCTATCTGGGAAAATGCTATCACTGTAAACATGACATGATAAATAATTTTTTTTTCAATAAAATAAAAATAAAAATTGATACATCAACCAACTTAATTTAAGCATAATAAAATTATTACGCATAGATATTGGGCGGTTAGTTTATGTTAAGTTACTAAAGTCACATAAATATGAACAATGGCAAATAATTCGTTAAGAGTCCTGTATGAATAAAAGATATTTTATTTTTGTTTATTAATGTATCATCGAATGATCATTTGATCATTAATTTTTATATTTATAATAATAATAATCTCTAAATCTTTTTAAAATTCTTATATAATCTTCATCAAAATTAACTTAGCGAGAGGTTTTTTTAAAATATAAAATGTAAAGGTTTAAGTATCAAAAATACTTTAATATACCTTCAAATAATTATACTGTAATACTGTTTACTTGTCTGATTACCTATTTTATGTATGATATGTAATATCAAAATATAGTAGGAGGTAGAGTATCAAGGTACATTATTAATAAATAATTATATTAGTTGAAGTTATCGGTGTAATAAATTGAAAAACAGAATTAACAATGTTCCAAAAACTCTACGCGACCTTAAACCTATATCATCAAATCAAATCTTTTAAAATGTACTGTAAGTTTTAAAAATATATATCCGATGACTTTTTTTTTTTTGTTATTGATGGACAAAATTAAAATTTGTACATTTTTCGTTAATTTTTTTTATTATTTCAAAACGTTTCTTTATGTATAATGGCATTTGAGTGTAAGATAATGGTAAATATTACTATCAGATTTTAATCTATATACAATTTACTACGTGGGATTCCATTTTTATTGAAACTTTATGTCTCTTCTTTCAAACGTTTATACTTGTAACACTGTTTGTTTAATTTTAATTTTAGTTGTTATAAAGGTGGGAAAGAACAGTAATTGCACTGAGTCCTGTAGGTCCATTGAGTAACACTTTAAATATATAGTAAAAAATAATATAAATACATCATATACATTAATCTCCAATGATTAAAATGATTGTTTATTATATTTGAGCTTTACTCAGTATTTTAATGATACTACAAATAAAAACTTTTATATTACTATCAGTGAAAATATTTATGTATTCGATTTGCTGATATTTCTGTTTCAAGCCTATATTAAAATTTGTTTAGAAACAATAAAATCATTAAATAACAATTTTGTTAAGTTTTTCAATGTACTTTGAATAAAAGTATCCCTATGACTAATCTTTTTGCACAATGTCATCCGAGCATAGTATGATAGTGGTAAATATTTCTAGTAATTTTTCGTCTATATTTAAGTTTACTACGTGTAGTTTCGACTGTACTGGGTATTATTATTTAATATACAAGTGAAATAAAAGTAATAATGAATAGATAATATAATTTGAATTTTTATTTAAATAAAAAAAATACTTCTACTGTTACAGACTGATTATTCGTGTTTCTATTTAGTCTTTCTATTCAAATTTTATTGATATAACTAGTAATAGTCGAGTACATAGTAATTAGAACCGATGACATCGTCAAAAAAAGTCATTTTAAATTTCAACCTAAACTAAAATTTTGCTACCGTTAAATTTTTTATGATAGAGCCTATATTACTAATATAAAAAAGTAATTAAAGTAAAATATTATAAAAAAAATAAATGTATTTTTAACAGACCAGTAAACAAGATAATAATACATCTTTAATAAATAATACGGTCTATGATGAACAAACCAGAAAGCAACTAAGAGATGTGGAGAATTTATCATTATGGAATTATGTTAAAGAGGAACTAATTCAACCGTATTTTTTTACACTACCCAATACAACAATTAACGATTTCATTCTTAATTCAATAATGTACAACAATGTAATTAAATTTACTCTTAGTAGAGCAATAATAATCATGTGCGATCGAACTTCTAAGTATACGATTGTGCTATTGATATATGCCTTTGAGATTATGAGAATTAATCGTTATATTATACCATGTTGGGATGAATTAATAAATAATTTAAAAAAATTGAGTGATGCACTGATATATTTGAATGGCAACAATAAATTAAAACATGATTTATATAAAATTGAAGAAGAAAAAAATGTGTCTTCATTAATGAGCATTTTTAAAGACTTGGTAATTGATTACGCAAGTATTATCTTATCGCGCAAAGAACAGAACATATATAATTTTATAGAAGATTATACAGAATTTAATGATGTGTATAAACCCACGTTGCCACAAAATTTATTGGATAAAATATTAAAAGGATTTCCAAAACATTACCCAAACGACGAGCCATACCAATTTGAACTTATACCAGAAAACCTATCTGAAATAGAAGAAAAATTTCAACAAATTTTTAAATTAATTGATGTAGAATTCAATAATATTTACAAAATAAATTTTTTAGTAAGGTAGATATTTATTTTCAAAAATATTTATGGTAACTTAATCGCACTTGTAATAAATAATTTATTCTACCATCTTACAATTAATAATAGAAAAAAATTTAGATGTGTCATTAAGATGTGAAATAATTTATACATATGATACTCATTAAGCATATTTCAATATTTTTTTAAATAAAATGAATTCTTCCTATAGATTCTGTGTTCTATTATTTTTAAATAAAAACAATAATACATTATTTATTTTAATAAAAGTTATAATAATAATTCTCAGAATTATGGTTTTTTATAAATGTATATTTTTACTTGAAGTAAAAACTTGAAGTTGAAGAACTTTAAGCAACAAGACAATCCATGAAAGCTTTAACACATTCATGTATATTTTTTTTAATCTATCAACAACTTTATGTTTTTCTCTTATATTTTATAAAGGTATATTCAGTTTTTTAAAAGACAAAACACATAATTAACTTTTTACTCTTTTAGTTAATTATATAATTAAGAAAAAATGATTAGTCGATATCATCTTTTGGACTTGAATTACAGAAGTTATTTGTATGGTAAGATTCAATATCGATATTCATACCGTATGAATATCGATATTTTTATAGTAATGTAATCAATCATTTGTTATTTATTTTATTACTATGTAACTCTAGTAAAGAATTTATAAAGAGTTTTAAGATTAATTTTATTTCATTTTGTTTTATCGTATATTATGTTGTTTAACCTATATCTCTACTGCAAGTAAGTTTTATTATTCGGTAGAACGTTTTGTAAGCATAAGTACTTTATTTATACAATAATATATGTTTTAGTCATAGTGAAATATTATTCATTATTTTATTGTAACTAATTGTGTTGTAATTTATCTTTCACAATTATAATTCTCTTTCGACATTTATCATTGGACATTTCTAGGCCATAATCCGTCTCCTGTCAAAATTTCAAAATGTTAATAACTTTTGATATACTATTAAATTTATTTGTCAATTAATTAAATTAAATACTATTAAAAGTTATTATAAAAACAAAGAATAATTATTAGATAAGATTTAAAATCAATAAGTGTCAATAATTATATTATATTAACACCTAATTATTTAGAATTAGTAATCTGAGAAAGAACGATAAAGCAATAGATAAAATATTTATATTAATTTTCTTTAACTTTAATTAATTGTTACTGATTAGCTCGTACCTTATACATAATCGCATTGCATGGTATTCGTGAGATGGTCGCCGTCTCATCGTTGCCTAAAAAAGTTTAGAAACCTAATATTATTTCTACTGTAACCAGGTCTCAGGACTTAAAGCATTTGCTAGAAAATGCTTTTTTTTGCTATTTTTGATGATTTTTTCAAAAAACGCTCATTTTCATTTTTTTCTGGTTTTTTCGATGATTTAAAAAAAACAAATGCTTGTTTCTTGTTTTTTCTGTTTTTGTACATTAAAATATTTTCTTTATGACACAGCCTACCCAGGTTTTTTTATCGGTTTTTGATAGATGTAATAAGGAAAATAATTCAATTGCTTTCCTTGCTTGTAGGGTTTTGTCTTTGTTATCTTATCTGTTTGATAGCCAACGCCGTCCTCGGCATCGTTAACTTCTTTAGCTGTAGTTAAAGTGTCATACTAGTGTGGTACTTAGTTGATTTCCTTTTTATAATGGATTTCTTGGTAAACAATATTGTTAGACCTTTTTTGCATACTGAGATATCAACACAAATAAATTTTTGATTTTAGTTCAGTACTTGTCAATTCTGATAGCGTGTGTCCTGTTTCTTTCATTGTCGTATGTGACCAAAACTTCGACGTTTGTCGTGTTGTGCTAATTTTCGATAGCGTTTCTTTCGTCGTTATTTACCATCAAATATTTATTTATAATTATTTAGGATGGGAAAAGAAAATGTTTTTTTACACTACTTATGCTACTTTAAAAAAATATATTTCTGAATTTGGATCTGACATCTTTTCCACAGACGGACATGTTTTATATTGTAAAATGTGTGAAATAAAAATCAAATTCGAAAAAAAATTAATGTATCCCAACACTTGAAAACCGATAAACAAAAGAATAGTGTCAAAATGAACAAATACGGAAAAAAGTACAGCTATTGTTAACCAATCAAAGTTCAGCAAAATCAGAATACAACATGAGCTTATGTCAAGCAATGATGTTTGCTAATATTCCGTTGAACAAGCTTTCTAATAAAAAATTTAGAGTATTTTTAGAAAAATACACTGGTAAAAATATACCTATGGAAGCAACATTACGTAAAGGTTATATTTATGATATTTTTAATACTACTATGAATAAAATGAAAGTGGAAATTCAGTAAAATAAAATTTGGGTGTCTATTGATGAGAATTGTGATGCAGAAAGACGGTTTATAGCGAATGTTATAGTTGGAATTTTAAGAGCCGATTGTCTTGGACGTACATTTTTACTGCATTCAGAAGATCTGGACAAAGCAAATTATTCAACTATTTGCAAACTGTTTGAAAAAGCTATGGCTTTTATATGGCTTGGCAATATAAAGTATGTTAATATCTTGTTATTTTTATCTGATGCCGCTTCTTACATGGTAAAAGCAGGCACTGTTCTAAAATATATATTTACTAAAATGATTCACGTAACTTGTTGTGCTCATGGACTTCATAGAATCGCTGAAGAAATTCGAGGACAATTTAGTACAGTCGACGAATTAATATCTAATATAAAAAAATATTTCAAAAGCTCCTTATCGTGTTGAAATATTTAAATCTGAAGCTCCTGGTATAAAACTACCCCCTGAACCAGTTATTACCCGTTGGGGATCTTGAATTGATACTGCAATATACTATTGTGAACATTTTAGATCAAGTCGTCACGTATTAAGTTGCTTAGATGAAGACGACGCCGAATCCATTAAAAAAGCAAAACTGTGCATAGTAAAATTGGGTTCTAGAAGCCCATTTGGCTTACATAAAAAGTAATTTTGAAGTTATTACTAAAGCCATAATAGAACTACAAAAAAAAAACGTTTTATTGTCTAATTCACTTGCCGTGGTAACAAATGTGAAACAAAAATTTTCTATGTTAAAGGGGAATCGTGGAAAACAGTTTTTACTAAACTACAAAAAGTTTTAAAAAAAAATAATGGTTTAAGAATTTTAGAAAAGATATCAAAAATACTTCACAGTGAAAATGATAGTAATTTAGATGACTTCAGTGACTTTCCGGATGACTACTCATGTAATGATATTGTGTATTTTAAATATGTGCTTATTACGTCATTAGATGTCGAGCGTTTTTCAGCATACAAAACAATACTATCAAACAACAGAAGGGCATTCGAATTCGAAAACCTAAGAAAACAATTCATTATTCAATGCAATAATTACGGTAAGACTAGTTTTGAAACAAATTTTGTTGATAGAATAAATTGATATTTCTTCAACTATTTTAGTTAATATCGATTATATTTAATTTTCAGAAAATCCATAAACAAGATATTATTTAACATTTCTTGTCATTCAACTTGAAAGTGGAAGTCAGCCATCATTTTGATTCTTATAGGATTAATTTTTTTTATATATATTTTTTTTTATTTTCAATTTGAATTTATAATTAAAAGATTAAATTAATTAAATACCCGTATTATTTTTCAATTAAATAATTTTATTTTAATGGTATTAAAAGTCCTAAAAAATTATACTCAGCACAGTTACAAATATTTAGTACTTTAATATTTAAATGAAAATTAAGAAATTTTTGTCGATTTTTTTGCTTAATTTTTTTTATTTATAAATATTTTTTAAGCGCTTTTTTTGATCATTTTAAGTGTTATAAGTTCCAAACCATGTATATAACACTTTGACTGGGTGTTCGTGGATGGCCACCGCCTCTTCGTTGCCTCGGTGTATTATTCCAGATACTTACTCGTTGGGTCATTTATAATAACTCTATAAGAGGAATCTTAATTATTTCTTTTTATATCTATTTGTCTTTATTATTTTATTACCATCGAAATCATACCCGAATTGAAGTAACTCTTCTCTTTTACCCAACGCACACCATGACTACCAGTTACTAGTTATTTTATGTTACGATATTGGTACATTAAAGTTAATAACATTTGAAATGCAAGTCCAAAAGTTTTTATTGGACAGTTATTTTTTTAGTTAGATCATTTTCTACTAAAAAGCTAGTTAATTATGTATGTTGTCATTGAAAACATAAAGTTGACCCCCTTTAGAATCTTTGTGTTTTAATCTAGATACCTTAATTTGCATTATTTCATTGTGTGAAACTGTTTAATAAAATAAAATTATTTATCTATCTCAGTCTAAATTTTCTTAGAATAACAGAGATCTTTGTTTAAATTACAAATATTTAAAATATTTTACCTATCTTACAACTTAAAAGTAAGAACCTTTCATTTTTTTAAAGTTAGTTTTATTGAAGTTTCTAAAATAAATATTGAAGCAATTTTGGTTCTGTTAGTGACTCTTATTATTACTTTTATTATAGTAACAATACTAAAAAATAAAAGCACATAAGCAATTTATTTATTTTATCCATATGTCATAAAATATAAATATAATTTATTTATAAAATAAAAACTAGATTCTATAATAGAATAAATGAAATATGGTAAACAGGTGGTAAAAAAATAAAAAAAAAACCCAGCACAGGGGGGTCGGGGCACAGTGGTGCCGTGGTATAGTTGGATCAAGTATAATGATATCTGACAGTGATTAAAATCACTATCTTTTGTAAATCGGATCACATCCCATTATAAAAGGGGGGTAAAAACATTAAACAGTTGGATTTGTCTTCATGGTAAAAATAACTACTGTATTCAAAAATTTGATACTTTTGAGTTAAAATTCTGGGATTCGTATTTGATATTATTTTAAAATACCTGACAAGGGAAGTACATAGATTTTCATAAATATTATATAAATAAAATTGATATATCATAAGAACTTAAACTTATTTAAATATTTTTGCCTTTTTTAAGTCGATAAAAAAAACCCAGCACAGGGGGGTCGCGGCACAGTAGTGACGTGTCATAGTTGGATCAAGTATAATGATATCTGACAGTGATTAAAATCACTATCTAAAATAAACGCTTCGATGCAAATCTTTAGATACTGTTTAATTTTAAAAAAATTAGTGTTTTATTCCAAAAGCTAC